CTGCCCGCCCATTGGTCGGCCGCTGGGCCCCGAGCCAATCGCAGTATTGAAGAGGAGCCTCCATGTGCTTCCAGCAATGGTGAGGAAGCCGCTTCTCCTCACACTGCCAAGCTCCGTGTAGCCCCCAGGAGTGGTGTTGGTCTCTCATCTCTCCCCTCCCACAGTACCTTAAAATCTTCTCCTGGAGGAAAGGTTATCCCATGGAAAGTTTGGTTGTGCTAGCTCTTATAGACTATGTCTACACTCGCGGCTTCTTGTCAGAAGTATGCAAATTAGGTTAAGCGTGGAATATCGCTGAGCCTCATTTGCATACCTAATGAGCTGCCATTTTGCAGAAGAGGTTCTTGCGCTAGAAGGAGCTGTCTACACTGCCCCTTCTTGCGCAAGAAAACCCCTCTTGCGCATTGCCGTTATTCCTGAAAATAATTGGCATAACGGCATTGCGCAAGAGGGGTTTTCTTGCGCAAGAAGGGGCAGTGTAGACAGCTCCTTCTGAAGCAAGAACCTCTTCTGCAAAAATGGTGACTCATTAGGTATGCAAATGAGGCTCGGCGATATTCCACACTTAGCCTCATTTGCATACTTCTGATTCAAGAAGCCGCTAGTGTAGACAAAGCTATAGTGTCCAAGTTATTAGAGCACAAACATACAAACATTCCCCTTTATATATTAGATTTACCCCTAACCGTCTTCTAAGAGCCCAGTAAGCAGTGGAAGTGTTAAGACAATATTGACCTCCCGTGGTCTAGCAAATTCTCTGGTTCAGCACAGGTCAGATCCTGAGGGTGCTGGATTAGAGAGGTTCAACCTGTATCTCAATTTACAGATAAGCCTAAAATGAAGGAAGTGGTTCAGAAAAACGAAAGGTAGCTGTATGGCAGGATAATTTTGATAGAATAGGCACCCAGTCAAGAAGTGAAATATGAAGTGTAAAGTAATGCAAGTATAAAATAATCTTCCATCTATGTATAGATTAAACAACACTTAGTTAATGCAGTACAATTGAAGAAATGCATAGTTAAATTGAAAAGAGTACCAAGTAGAGCATCAGATGGAAAACAAGTAAGAATGAGTGAGAGGTGACAAACTGAAATACATTAAACTAGTTAAGGTTTATTATAAAATTAAATCTTTAAGGTTGATGACTGGAACTACTGACATCACATTAAGATAGGGAGGCAGACCTAATCTGTGTGGGAATTAAGGGAAATCTTACACATCATGGGCCCATCAATGGAGCACTTGTGTTTTCTGCTCTCTAATATTGCTATTGGCTTCTTAATTTTTTTAAAACAAAAAAAGAGGAAATTGCCCACTCTCACTTTATTCAAGAGTGTGTGGCACATCTGTCAGAAGCCTAGATGTATTTTGTGCATTGTGATACAGAACTAAATTAGTTCGTAGCATCACTATTAAATGATGGTTACAGTGTCATTATACAGTTTCATGACTACCAAATGTGATTGGTGAGGCTCCTGAGTGTGCCAAAGATGTGGCATTTCTAGGTTTAAGAGCAAATAGTTAAATTGGAAACAAAGTTATAGTAAACCTGGTCTTGGGAATTGGAAAACATGGCTTCTTAATAATCATTTAATGGATACTGTAGTATTTGTTATGTTCATGTGGGAATTGTGTGTCTGTGGAGCATTGAAATTGAAGACTGGAATCTGTGTTCCTTGTAAGATGAGCAGTTGGGTAGCTACCCAGCAGATATTTAAATACCGCTCAGTTGTTTAGCAGAGTGCTCATAGTAGGCAGCATGTGTTTCTACTGGTGCACATTCACCCATGCCTCAGTGTGCATAACAAAATTTATTCTGCACATGAGTGGGAAAAAAATAGGGAACACTGACATCACAATTAATCTGAGGGGAAATTAAAGGAAGTCTCGCCCATCTTGGGCCTAGTCCTAAAGTTCTTAATCACATAAAGCTTGATTATGTACTACTTATTTCTATTGGTAATCTCCAGGACTCAGAGAGAGAGAGAGAGAATTTACCAGTGCAGGAAAGAGGTGCTCATGAAGAATCTAGCTCATGTAACTGGGGGAGGGAGGTAGATACCTCGCACTAGACCCTACCCCATCTGTGGTTGGCCTCTTGCCCCCCTGGCCATGGCATTTGGAGCACATGCCCCTCCTGTCTGGAGCTATTATCTCTTTCCTGATTAAAGTTATACATACACAATGGAATAGTTTCAACAAGAGAGAGAGGGGAAGCCACTCCGGAATACCCGCTCGCTAGGGCTCCAACTTTGGATCAAGTCCTTGCTCCTTGTGATGCAGAGTGGGGATTCAAACCCACATATCCCACTTCATTACAAGAAAGCCATTCATCAGCTCTTCCAGGAAATCAAGCCATATTCAGAGCATGCCAACTGAATTAGGCCCCAGGCAAGAAAGTGGGGATGGGGGACCTTGTTTGTGAATTCCACCAAGGTTTAGGAATGAGCTAGGTGACTGCTGGACATTCTCAGGATGTAGGTGATTGTGTACATGCCCAGCCACTGAAATTTGGGCATTTCTGGTATTTTAAGTGAAAACATGGCTGGCTCCTAACTCTGTAAACTCCTAAAGTCCCTTGGAACTGGAGGGTTGGTTCTGTGAATGCCAGTGTTGGACTTAACAGGCACTTTAGGCACTTAGGTGCAGAGGTGCTGAGAGCCCTTGAACCAAATTGTAAACCCAGTGTATAACAGAAACTACTTAAAGCCAGGGTGTGCAGCAGAATCCCTATTTCTAGCACCTATGCTTAAGTTGCCTAAGTCCTCCTTCTGAATCTAGTCGTCTAGCAAGTTATGGATTCTGGGGTAAAGTCTGTGGTCCCAAAATAAAGCATGATATACCTGTTCATAGAATGCCAGTCACCATGGCTAAGTGCTAATGGATGCAAGCAGTTCCATTTCACTAACTGGGACTACTCAAATGCAAGCTAATATTCAGGAGCATGACCTTAATGTGCTTTGGTACATTAAACTCTTAAAATTTATATCCTTATCATGTCTTTTATCTATGTTTTATAAAAGCTTTTTATGGCTTTTTTTTAAAAAATTAAAAACCTTTAAATTTCTTCATTACAACTTTTCTGCTTGGAGAAAAGTGTCAACCTCCATGTTATGGCTGTAGCATAAACACAAAGGTGTCTTGTTCATAATGATGACCCCATCCCCATGGTGACTGCATGACTATGCTTTGTCAAAAGGAAAGATGAGCCACAATGAGAGGCCTCACACACGTGGGAGAAAGGCGCTGAAGATGATATTGCTCTTAGTTTCTCCCCTTTTCTCAGCAGCAAGCATCTGTCCTCTCCCACTTAGCCCTCTGTTGCACATCTGCCAATATTAAAAATCTAGGAATCAGTTTGTTTGAAATGGGGAACAAATCTTTTTACTACACTAAACTACATGGAATTAGGAGGGATTATTTCTGGAAGACAGAATGAAAAAAATTAAAAATCATCTTGCTAAAAAATATAGGGACTGCCCTTCCTAAATAGGTCCAATTGCTTTGAATGAGTAGGGAGCTCTCTCCTTTGGCTATTGGCTTAGTGGTTGCTGTCTGTTGTTCCTCCTCGGCATCTGTACTTTTCAGGGTGTCTATGAAACCTGCCCCAGTAATCTTAAGAGTTCCCTCTCCATTTGTAAACAGCTAGGTATAAGGGAAGAGATTGCCTTTGATGGCCTGCTGCTGGACCCTTGTGGAGGAATTGGTGCTGTAACTCCTATCCCCTGCAGCATAGGGTGATGGTAAAAGGAGGTCCTGGTGCTTGATAGTCAGGGGTATGCACAAAAGTAGTTGTAGAATTACAAAAGGCAAAGGAAATGTTTAGGGGACCATCCTTAAGCATCAGAAAACCTAGTTTATATTCCTGGTTCTGCCACAGAATTCCTATGTGGTCTCAGGTGTCCATGTCCGTGCCTCAGTTTCCCTCTGCAGAATGAAGATATTTTCCTTTCTCATTAGTTTACTGAAGGTGGGATATTCTAAAGTGCCTCTGTGACTTAAGGAGCAAGAATCTGTTAGGCATGTGCTCCCAGGTCAGTTAAATGTGTACTTTTGAAAAAAAAAACTTAAATTCATTACTATTTGTAAAATGTTTTGAGATGCAGGAAGGGTAGGAAGTATTGCAGGGCAGTATATTTATTATGTTATAAACTAGGTTGCTTTAGAAGGAAAGTCAAGGAGCTCTAATCCTGAGAGAATTGCTAATGGACTGAGATTTGCCGAGTTGATGCTTTTCCACCTCCAGCTGGCTAAGAAAGTTTAACCCATCCCTTCCTCTGGGACAAGGACGGGACACGGTGATCCCGGCTCTGCAGAACTGAGCAGCCAAGGCAGAGCTAAGTAACTGTTATCACCTTGGGGAGAGGAATCTCCTACGGAGAGGCTGCGAATGAGGAAAAAGAGGGTTATTCTAACGCTGTGTTGAGGAGGGAGATATGTCCATACTTCGTGAGAGTCAGCACTGCTGCAGTGCAAACCTCTGAGGTAATAGATACTGCGGTGAGGGATACTTTACTCCTACATAAAGTAGATGGATCAGAGTTGGGGGGGGGGGGTCATTCATGACTTTTTTTTAAGGCTGCCTATCTTTTCCCTGAGCATCCAGGGCTGGGGCTTTGTACCCGCCACAGTCTGACTCTTAAGAGACTCAAATACACTTCAGAAAATGGCTGGGAACGGGGCAGGACATCAGCGTGATGAAGTGCGACCTCCCGTACAAAAGGCAGGGGACTCTGGGAAGCCACACCTGAACTCTTAGTCGGGCGTGGGGGAGAAGGGCTCTGTTTGCTAGCACAACCCAGGATCCGATAGCCAACTAATCCGTTTTATTAACTTCCCTCCCACCCTCCTTGGATAGTTGGTACATTCCCGCTGAAACTTCGGGAGCATAAATAGAGGCAGCAGCAGCAAGCTGCAGGGCTATTTGTCGCTTGCTAGGTAGGAGCAGGTGAACCTGTTTACTTATCTACTCACAAGCAGTTTGTCTGCGTGCGCCCGGAGTGGGGAAGGTGTAGCATGGAGCAGCCCGTGCAAACACACATGTGGAAAGCGCATACTTTACAGGAGCTTATCCGGATCCTGCATCACATATTTTCTAGCGATAAAGCCAATATAGAAGAAGTGCAGGCCTTAATGGAATCGTATGAGAGCAATCCTGCAGAGTGGATGAAATATGCCCAATTTGACCAATACAGGTAAAGTCAGCTCTTCTTATCTCAGTGCAAGGGGTGGTAACGCAAAAAGGAGACCGTCTAAAGAGTAAACGAACAGCGCAGCAAGCAAGACATATGATGTGAACATACTTGTTAGGAAATGGGAGGCGTAATTTGTGCTATGGGGGTGTTGATAAAGTGGAATCAATAGAGATCAGAGGAGTGGAACTTTAAAATCGGTTTGAGGAAAGGGAGGAGAAGGAGTCGTCGTCTTTGCAGTCATCTAGTGGAATCTAGATAACTTGTCCTCTGGTGAAGGAGGCACCTGGTATCTCGGTGTAAACTTAATTGCAATCGATTGTTAAATAAAGAGCATGTCGTACTACACCACAACGATAAAGAGTTTCTTTAAGGGTTGGATAACATGATTGGCCACTGCCCACGCTGTTGCGATCCTTTTCGGTACAGCTGTGGGTAGGAATCTGACCTAAGATGCATGTGGGTTTTATTCTGTAGTTTGTCTACTCAAGCAAGTACACTGCGTGCTTAGCCCGCTCCCTTCTAACAGTGTTCCCCAGATGCGTGGCGTTCATGTGAATAGCAAAGATGTTTTAGGATGACGGATGGGAGGAGGCATCCTCCCAAGTGTTGAAGGGTTTGCAAATTCAGAAGGAACCCAGTCTCCTGGAAACAGCTCAGAAACGAAGAACCCAGGGAAAATATCTTGGCAAGCTTCCCAGGCGGATCGGCAGTGGGAGGCTAATTCAGCTTAGCTACAACGCCGGCTTTCAGGGCCGGGACCGCCCCGCTGGGGAAAGGGGGCAGCTGCTACCATCTCCTGTGCGGTACCGGTGTAGGCTGCCCCAGTTCTCTGCCGCTGACTTGTGCGGTGAGTTGTTAGGAGAAGGTCAGGGGGTCGCCTTCCCAAATGAACAAGCCTTTGCGCTTCGCTCGATCCCCCTCGAGCCCCCCAGAGCTCCAGGGGCGGCGCGGCGGAGCCGGGAAGCGGCCAGGGGAGGCTGTTGGGCAGCGGGTTTGAAATCAAGCCCTCTAAGCGCGCCAGGCTTCGGGTTTTATTCCGCAAAAGCTCTTCTCCCCCGCTGCCCCTACGGCTGCTCCATTCAGTCCCCTCTCCTCGCTGCCCTGCTGCCTGTCCCCTCCTCTCCAGTCCTGCGCTGCAGGGGGCGGCATCTTCCATCCACTCTTCTCTCATTCCTCCTTCCTGCCCCCTCGCTCCACTTCCCCCCTATGCTAATCCCTGCGCAACCCCGCTCTGCGGCGGGGGGGGGGGGGCGGGTT